CGTGGAGGGTACTCTAACAACTATCGGGGGAATAATTTCAGGGTATGTTTTACGTTTATTTCTGTGTAGATTTCATCATTACCATCATCGCTTACGTTACATGCGAATGTTTCATAGCAACAGATTCAGCAACAACAATCATGAGCCGAAAAAAAAAAGAAAACAAAAGCATATATTCATGGCGTTTTAGATATTTTTATTTGATATTTTTATATTTACGATCACGGATTTCTTGCTTGTTTGAATTTTCGTTGTTTTTGTTATTCAAAACATCACATTCACTTTTCATACCTATCATCGGATTTTTTAATATCTAATCAGATTTGTATAAAGAAATAATGTGAAGCAATATACGTGTAAACGAAGGAAGAAAAAAAAAAATAACAATGCATAAGAGAAAAAAGAGGGACATCAATAAGAAAAAAGGAGGCTTCACATGTATAAAAAAAAAAAAAAAAAAAAGGAATAAGGAAACCTTTTATACATAGTATTCGACATGTATTTATAATTTGTAGTCTAGCACGGTGAAATTTTTATGTTTTCCTTGTATTCAAATTTTCTTCCAACATATATATCGTATATTCTCTACAAAAAAGAAAACAGATAAAGACAGGCTTACTAAAGGTTTGATTTATTTTAATAACTGTTAATATTAAATTTTTGAAGTGTGCTATTGTATACTTGTTTTGTATCTTCGAAGTCGGATTTATTTGCATTTATACAAATCGGATTTCAATTTTAAAAAATTTGCATAATAAACATCAGATTATATAAACCAAGACTAATTATTTTAAACAATATATAGTAATATTCAGGCATTTATAACCTTATCATTATTAATTTAAACAATGTATTTTTATTTCAAATAGGATTATTCTTATTTTTTTTTTTTTGAATTTAACAAACTATTCGAATGATATTTTATCCCAATAAATTTGAAGAAATGCCAACAAGCCAATCACTTTGAATTACAGAAATATTTTTCATATATGGTTTTGAAGTTAATACCTGCAAATAAGATTATTTAGTAAAATGACAAAAAAAAAAAAAAAAATGAAAAAACTTTTTTTACCAATTCTGTATACATAACAGTTTCAATTTTTTTATTAAATAAAGTTGACGATGGATGTATGTTAACGATCTATTATCAGGATAAACAAATATTCAATTAGCTCATAAATGATTGCTATTAAAAATTTATCATAAAAATAGAATAAAACAATAACATCAATAACATGATAAATATACCTGATTACTCCCAACAGCTTTATAACCATTGTTACCGGGTTGTAACATAGCAGAATTACGAAAAAACCCGCTTAATACACATTTCAATAGTAGTTCATAGTTTTCGCAGCAAGTGGTTGTAGGAGAAATATTCATTCTTGTACACAATTGTATTAATTGTTTTCTTACATTCTGTTTATATATAAATTAACAAAATTAGTAAAATGAATAGAATTTCAATTGATTGTTAATAATACTTACAATAACATGTTTCATATTTCGTTTATTAACAAAGTTTTGTTTGCACCAATCCAAATTTCCTTTATGTGTTTCATATGATCGTAAAACATTTAAATAGGTAATCAAATCACCAAGAGGAGATATAAATTTCTTTTTCATATCCAATGCATGATCACGTTGATCTTGAGGCGAAAAAAAAATCGAGTCAACCGAAAGTAATGAAACTATATTAATTACTTCACGCGTACAAGACATTTGCTATTAAAAAATAATGCAAGTTATTAAATAATTAATGAAAGTTTATCAGTTAATAATAATTTTTAAAGTACCTCTGACATGATAAGGACTTTAGCATATGCCGGTTCAAGAGGAAACTCTGACATTTTTCTTCCCAAATCACTTATTTTACCTTGGTTATCAAGCGCTTTTAGAATAAATAATTGTTCCAAAGCCCTTTTTACTATGTTCAGGACATTAAAATAGAATCAACAATTTGTAATTAAAAAAAATTTTTTTTTTTTTTTTGAAAAGCACAACATACATAAGTTTCTTGACGGAGCATCTAAATAATCGAATTCAAGTACATTTTCGATACCAAAAGCTTTTAATAATAAGATAATCGATGCAAGATTGCATCTTTTAATTTCCGGTTCAGTATTTTTTTCCATTCTATTATATTCTTCTTCTGTATATAAACGATAACAAAACCCTGGAGCCTAATGAAACACAATAATAGTAATTTTTTTTTTTTTTATAAACAGCAAATGCACTAATATCTGTAAGCATATCTTTATAGCGCACCTCACGACCAGCCCTACCCATCCGTTGATCAGCAGAATCCTTTGAAATATTTTCTATGGATAAACTTTCCATTCCAACTCTTGAATTAAATTTTTTCATTTTGCATTTTCCCGTATCTACAACGTACCTAACGCCATTTATCGTTATAGAAGTTTCGGCGATGTTTGTTGCTAGTATTATTTTACGAGTTCCTGGAGGAGAGGGATCAAAAACTTTTGTTTGTTGTTCTGTCGGAAGAGCCGCAAATAACAAACACGGAATTATCTACATATAGATGTATTGTTTATAGAAATATATATCAGTTGTTAGATGAAAAAAAAAAGATTAAACATGAAATTGTACCTTTAGTTTATCTGGTGGTAAAGTCGTGTCGTATTCAGTTATTAATTTTTCAAGAATTTCAATATCATCTTGGCCTAAATATATCAAATATAGGTCAATTATATAACGAATAATTAATGGTTTATAATAAGTAATCAACAACTTACCCGGTAGAAATACCAGAATATCACCAGGCGGTTGATTTGCATGAATTTGTGTTGACGTAGTAAACACAGCATCTAAATAATCAGGTTGAGGTACAAAGCTGTAATTCACGCTCACCGGAAACTGTCGACCCGGAATTTGTAATATTGTAGTTCTAATGATGAATCAGTCAAGTCATTCTCGGCAAAAAAAAAAAAGAAAAGATAACTCTACAATTAAATAATGACTCACGTATTAAAATAATTGGCAAATTTTTGAGAATTCAACGTGGCACTCATTATAATTACTTTTAACGGACTACAAGATTTATCATTCTTTCTAGCATCTTGAACCCTTTTCACCATACCAAAGAGAATATCAGTACGCATTGTTCTTTCATGTGCCTCATCCAGAATTATTACACAATATTTCAAAAGCAGAGGATCAGATAATAATTCTCGTAAAAGCATGCCATCGGTGAGATATTTTATAACTGTAGCGCGAGATGATGTATCATCAAATCTGACAGAATAACCAACCTTTATAAAGTATGATAAATATTAATAATATTAAATCTACATATAAATAATATATATAAATTTGATAAGAACTAACACGATGACCAAGCTTCGTTCCAACTTCATTAGCAACTCTCTTAGCCAAACTTATAGCAGCGACTCTCCTTGGTTGTGTTAACGCGATAGCACCATCCGATATAAAACCAGCATCCAACAAGAATTGCGGTATTTCTAATGAAGCCGTGATCACGTGATTTTAATAAGAATTTATGAAGTTTCGCGAGTTTTTAAAAATTTTTATACATACGGGTACTTTTTCCACAGCCCATTTCACCCATAACAACAATAGTCTCATTTTCTTTGACAGCCTGTACTAATTTTTTTCGTTCTTTCAACAGAAAGAACTTTAGAAATTAAATGATTAGAAATGTTAACTACGATAAAGGAAATATAGACTACCTCTCCATATTGGAAGTTCTTTTCGAAATCCTTTTAATCGTTGTGCAATATCATGAAATTCCAAATCAAAATTTTTTCTTTGTTTTTTATTAACGCGCTTATTGCTAATGTTCGTTAAATTCTGATTTTTTGAAACGTCAAAGGTGTCATCAGCTAAAGAACGCCTACGTTTTGATTTCATTTATTGAACAGGTCGACCCCAGCAGCGGCGGTTAATGTTTAGATAGATTCTGTTCTCATGCAATACAATCAGCTGCCTCGTGATGATCTGATAAATTTCATTGGTCAAAAAATACTAGGTTTGTCGCGATGAGTGTATTAATAAAAGATTTCGGTAATTATTTCACCATTTGCTCGACTTCAGAAAGTTTCACCCACCGGTTTCGAAAATTTTACCCAATTTCGAAAATTTAGAATTTTTAGATTTGAGGTTTCGTCTAGCTGAAAGTTTTGATTTAGACTAAAATGCTGATGTTCTTTTAATCGGGTCTGGATCAAAATTCCGACAAGGTCAATCTCGACAAGTTAGCCCGCATTAGCTGTAGTTCCGGTTAGTTTTTGTCGGGGATTTTGTTGTAGAATTTTAATACGTAGTCGATATCGATATCATAAATATATATATATATATATAGTAAATCTAAATTCATTAAAAGATTTTTTTATGTATCATATCAGATATATACATGTATATATGTATATATTATTTCTTAATGCAGATACAGTAGCCTGCATTTAAAATTATAGTTAGCCCTCTATAATCACACTTGGTTTCAAGAAATTCTGCGCTTATAAAGAATTATGCTTAAGGTGAAGTAGGGTATTCTGACGCACCTAAGAGTGCTAATAGTAAAAGTTTTCAGAAAAAAAATATTATTCACAAATTTTATTAAAATAAACTAATATTCGATCTAATATCCATCGTCAAACTAATAAACGCCTTAAATTTTAAAACAAAACTCGATAATTTGAACTTTCAAAAACTATTTGAAAACTGTTATGTTTTGTGAGTTGGAGGGTATTTTGACGCACTATGCAAATTCGATTAGACCTCAGTGTTAATTATCTAAATTTAGCAAAATTCTATTTACACTAGCTCTTTTTGTACTTTCGATTTTGCTGACCTCTCCCCCTTAAATTGCTCAGATAGGAAAAAAGAGAAAATAACGTAAGAACTACACAATAAGTCTAACCTTCCCTCAAGTCTTGATCAGAATTGAATAATTTTTGTATCATTCGATCCGTCTTAGTAAAACGAATCGAATGGTACTAAAATTGTTTGATTCTGATCAGTGCAGCAGTGTATCGCAAGATATTATAAAAAAACTTAAGTGCGTCAAAATACCCCTCTGCGTCAGAATACCCCGATTTACTTATTTGCGCCGGTGATACAAACCAAAAAAGGAAAAAAACAAAAAATATCCTTTTTTATTGGCACAAATAACGCATGAGAGTCACGATGTTAGGGTTAGTAAAGGTAATATATACTAAAATTTTGCAAGGAATTTTTTTTATTAGAACGTTAAAGGTGATTTCTTAGTCAGAATTTTGAGCTACCGACTATTTTTTAAAAAAGCTTTCGTTTTAATGTTACACCAACTGTTACACCTGATCTTGCGATCTTCATAAGAAAATTTCCTTATTTGGTTTGTATCACCGGCGCAAATAAGTGTACGCAGAATACCCTACTTCACCTTATATGGGCTAAATTTTATGTTTTACGTATATAAAAATTAGAGTGATTATAAATACAGTAAATGACTATATAGAGTGTGATTATAGAGAGGTTGACTGTAAAAATAAATATCATATAATATATTGATATATTTATATACGTACGTACGTATGAGATACTATACTTTTAGCAAATTCAAATATAAAATACATATTATCTTCAGAATCAATTTTCAATTATTTTTCAATCATTATATGTAGTATAATACTAAAATTCTTGTATTTTCAAAACATTTTATATAACAAACATTTATAACGTATTTTATAAATTTTTGTTATGATTAAATAATTAATAAAATTTATATATCAAAAAAAAAGATTACATATACAATAAAAATTTATTACAAAAAAAAAAAAGATAAGTTCAGGCCTTTTTTTCTAATAAACTATTATGCTTAAAAAGTAATAGTTTGTTAACCAATGCAGATGCTAAATAGATTCTTCTGAGAGTAATTTGATTTCTTGTATCAAGAAAAAAAAAAATCATTCATTTAAATAAAAGATGTGTGAATTAACATGCGATTTTGCTCAAAATAGAAAATATAACATCGATATTGGTTATATACTTTGGTAATGTGTTATATGACATTCAGAATCGATATGAATTGTTTTCGCGTGGAATAATTATGTGCAAAAGAGGACATTACGTATGAAGAATTAAACTACATTATGTATACTGCCAATTCAAGGTATTGATTGACGTTACTCCAGAATAACGAATACCATATCGCCATTATACAATACTATCAACACAACTGCCACATACTTTCTTAATGATGGATCTGAATGAATTAAAAATTGATTTAATAATTATATACATAGATTAATGATTTTCGTCAAAATTATAAATCTTACCGGCCATAAGGTATATAACTTGCGCTAAATAATATAGATTGGATATTAGCAATAATAACGGATAAATAATATTAATATATCTGAAAGAAAAAACTATCAACATACCAATACCAAAATAGAGCTAAAAATTGAACGATGCACATGATAATACAAAGAATAAAGCTTTGTAGCTATTAAAAACACAAATTTAAAATTTAAAGAGTTAATATGCATACTGTTATTAGAATCAAATAATGAAGAGGTCATAAAGGGAATACGAGATAATACATACCGTGAATGCCACAACCAACGTAGCTACCATTGATGCGAAAAAAACAGTACTAGCAATCCAGCGAACTTTATATAAATTGTGTGAAATTAATTAACTTTGTTAAAATTAAATAATTGTAATTTTATGTAATTGTAAAAACATTTGAGAATACCTGGTGCAAACATTGTCTTTGCTTGTTTTTTGAAGCCAACAAGGAACCCAGTACTAAAATGAATTCATTAGATAATTCCTTTGACTAAAAAGAAATAACTTGATTCTTTTTCATACCTTAGAAGTGATATGATATTACCAAGAGTGTATAAAATAGCGAACCCGGGCAGGTTAAGACTTATTAACATCAAAGTTGACTGCGTGTAAAGTAATATATAAATGGTCAATACATATTGTTTTAATAAATTTATTGTGCTTATATAAAATATATATTGCTAACAAGTATGCTAATAGCACAGCCAATGAGAAAGCTATTCAACAATTAAAAGCGAATTAGTCAATTGCAAGCTATGGACACATGCATTACGCAAATAGTGTTCCTACCAAATTCCAAAAGCATAAAGACGTTCCATCCTTGACAATTTGAACAAACCGTCAAAAGGACTACTCTCGTCCATTGTTCCTTGATCGCCATATCCAGTCGAATCCCAAAACTTCATTTTGCCCTTTCTTTTCTTATTGGTTTATTAAAGTGTTTTTTAAGACAAGTTGTGTTGGGCTTAGTTCTCCGAAGATCGATTGATTGCAAGGCTTATGTTTAAATCTGACAAAAACATGATCAGATCGTGATTTCTCACATGAAATTTTTTACATGTGTTCTGCAAGTTTCGATCATTTGTCACGTGGTGACACGACTTGTACTTTAATTGTCTATTCCACAAACTTCTGAACCAGGTGACATATGAGTTCCGTCAAGTCATCGGGACTTTTTTTCGTTCCAGATTCATGAAAAATCTATTATACATAACGCATAATAAGTAGCTGTAGCTGATCAGGTTTTTCAGAAGAACCAAACATAGCCACCCAAATCGGTTATGTACAGAGTTTATATAACAAAAATTTTCATAATAAAATCACCTGAAAATTCATATTTGGGTTATTATGGCACCCATATATGCTTCAAGCACTTATTAGATTCTAATACCCACGTAGTAATTGTCGCAGATCATAATGAAATCGGATTAAAATGAAATGAAGGGTTTCTATTTGAGCCCCTAAAACCCATTTATACTTGTTTATTATAAAATCTGCTTCTAAATCCTAATCCTAACTCTAAAAAAAAAGCTAAAAAAATGCACCCTAAAAAGTTGTATTTTTCGGTGGCTTGTCTATTTTACACTATCTTTCATTTCATTTTAATCTGATTTCATTTTAATCTGCCACAGTAATTACCTATAACTCATCTGGAATCGTAAAAAAAAAAAAAGATTGAGCAACATTTGGGTCAATGACCAGATCCTTTAATATAATCAAATTATAATAAGGACGTATCTAATCATAACATGTTACATGCTTATTTGTAACAACTTACTTAGTATAGATATCTTAATATAACGATAAGCGACTTACAAATTTTATTTTTTTGGAAAAAATATTTATGAAATGTAAAATACACAATAATTTTTTGAAGATACAATGTTTTTTCATAATTATCATTGCAGAAACAACTAAAACCGCTTACTATAATGAAACAAAATAAATAATGTTTTTTTATAAAATATTATTTCTAATTCGATCGCTTCAGTATTTTTTGCTCAATATCATCCGACATCTGCTTATAATTAAATAATTTTTAATAAACTTGATCAGTGCAGATAAATTATTTGCAATCTAAGATCGATACATCAAAATAAAACTTATAATTACTTTTCAAATTTATGTGATTACAAAAAAAACTGAAAACTATTTTTATAATTCAATAAAAAAAAATAAAAATAAAAATTAAAATAGAGTATTACTAGAAAAACGAGAATCGTTGTAAGTCCGGAGCATAAGTGATGCAATGCAGTCAGACCAGTTAATTTACTTACTATTACGGTACTCAAAAAAAGTGTCCGAACACACTGGAGATTCCAGCTAGCTACAACTTTACAGACGCGGTATGCAGTCATCAGGCCGTTCCAACCCTATGCATCCGACTTATTCCCGAAGTAACTACGGCGAACGGCTCCTT